TACAATACTTATTTTATACACAGGATTATTATTTAAAAAATGCAATAATCATGGTGAAAACAACCCGTTAGCATTTTTTTAATTTAAATTATTGTCTAGAAACCATCTGGGGACCCTCACTTGCATCTTTTTAACGCAGTAACTTTTACTTGTAGTTGAGTAGATTTGACCGAGTATCAGTACTTTTACTCAAGTACTAGAGTTGAGTACTTYGTCCACCACTGGTAAACACCAGAGATGAACGTCTGCAGTGAATCAGCTGTTTTACAAGAAGCTAAAAGTAAAATAAAAATCAAATGTAGACCATGACTAACAGAGGCTCTGTTGTGACGACAGTTTCCACAAGTCAAAGATTAGTTTAGTGTTKATTTCTGTGACACGTTTTAATAAATATATTTGGTAACATTCTGCAGAGTTTCCTGTGTTTCACACTTACTATGTATCCTGGTGCACAGACACAGGCTCCGGTCATGCCATCACAGTCGGCCCCATTAGTGCAGTTACACGGCTCCCTGCAGCCCTCACCATGGTAACCTGCAGGGCAGGTCTCGTTACAGTAAAGCCCCGCCCACCCAGCTGCACAGGTGCACTCTCCAGTCAGAGGGTGGCAGCTAGGAGAGAGAAGAAGAGTTAGTCTCTGCGTCTCTCTGCAGGTCGGCTGCAGGCACAGAGAGCAGCACAGCTACCTGAGCGTCTTGTCCACCTTGCAGGGACAGTATCTGTCACAGAGGAGTCCATACAGGCCGGCGGGACAGAACCGGTCCTGGCAGCTGGGACCCTTGAAGCCCTCGTTGCACAGGCAGGCCCCGTTGATGTGGTAACACTTGGCTCCGTTCTGRCAGTCACACTTGTGTGCACACTGAGGTCCGTACGTGCCCACCGGACATTCATGCTGACATCTGCAGCACAAACACAAAACAAGGACAAAGTTTCCTGTTCATTAAAAACTCTTCATGTKGGAGCAAAGACCAAACCAGGACCTGGAGCTGGCCCAGGAACTCTTTGACTTGCAGAGGCTCTCAGTTTATTAGCTACAACTGTGTGGGATTATTGTAGTGAACAAGGAGTGTCCTGCAGTAAATCCTGCTTTATGAAGGTTTTTTATTGGACCGGTTGTGGAGCAGAGTAAATCCAGCTGCAGTATTCCTGTGAAGGAAGCACTTTGTGCAGCCTGGAGAATCTATTATTCAAACAGGGCCTGTGTTCATTAGCTGCACTCATTGATATTAATGTGGTGCTGAAAATAATGGAAACACCTGACTGCAGAGCTCCAAACAAACTGACCAGTTAATAGAATGATTCTGTAAAACGGTCTCTAAACTTAGAGTCTGTGTGGGACTCATGCAGACCAGATCATCAGGAGAGGATCTTCATCAGGAGATGATCTTCATCAGGAGATGATCTTCATCAGG